AAAATATAAAGACACAGAGAGCGCAGAGAAAAAACAAAAATTTCTCCAGATGTTTATATACTTATATATATATATATATATATATATATATATATATATATATATATATATATAACTTTTTTTATTCATTCACAGCTTCTCTTTTTGCGATTACTTTTGTGGAAAGAAACGCTGCACAGTGATAATTAGAAATAAAGTTGTAGTTTATGAGCTTTAGGCATGAATCTGCAGTAAAAACTCACCGTCTCTTCACACTCTGACTTCAGGCTTTCTTTATCCCCCCGTTACTCTCCTTCCTCCTCTCTCTCCATCTTTTCTGCTGTTCTTTTCACCTTTCCGCCCCCGTCCAGGTCGCTCCTGTCTCTTCCCCTTTGAGGATGGTTTCCTTGACGACGGCCACGGTGACCCCTCCCTGACCCCGGGCCTGAACTCGCCGACCCGCTGTCAGAACGGCGAGAGGATGGAGCGCTACTCCAGGAAAGTGTTCGTCGGAGGTCTTCCTCCCGATATAGATGAAGGTAAAGGAAATTTTTTTCTTACTTTTTATTTTCATTTTTTGCAGCGAGTTTCACCCTGATACGTATTATGCTCATTTTTCCCAGTTGGAAACTTCCCAGAACACGCAGTAGTTTTGACTTTTTGCCTGTTACAGTCACGCTGACATTTATCAACTCCATTTGCGGGCACATTGACACTAAACTGCAAAAAAATACCCTCCTGAAACAAGTTAAAAATACAAAAAAATAAAACATTTTTACATGCAACTAGTACATCTGATCAATATTCAAGAAATATTGACCTAAAAAAAGCTTCTATTTCTTGTTAAATAGTTTATTTGGTCTTTTTTCAAGTGTACTAAGATATTTGCACAAAAACTAAATGAAAATATTTGGCAGGATGTTGTTTTTACAGTGGAGGCAAACCAGCGACATTAGTTTTCTACATAAGAGCCACATCTCAAATTGTTTTCTGCACTTTAAAAATTGGATAATTTTTGTCAGATAATCAACTTCTAATTTGTAGTTGTTACTAATTGTACTTATAGACCCTTGTACAATAATCTGTTGTTATATTCAATATGGATGATGGTACATAATGTGTACAATCGGTGCTCAGTAACTTTTCAGCAAATTATAGGAGTTTATTTTAAGTAAATAATTCCTTATAATTGATGAAAAATAACTAGTTCTATTCACAGATTACTTGCATATAATTTGGGGAAAATGTTTTGTTATAAGTGAAATAATCTGCCAGTGGAACTAGAACTGGGTTGCTAGGTAACGGGCTGGGCTTGGCTGGCGTTGCTAGGAAACGGTTGTGAAATAATCTGCCAGTGGAACTAGAACTTTTTCTTCAATGTTTAGGAATTATTTTCTTAAAACAGGCCTCTATATTTTGCTGAAAAGTTACTTATGAGTTAGTTTTGTCTTATTTCAAGTCTATTTAGATATTTGCAATAGAAACTATATTAAAATATTTTGTGATTTTGCAGTTCGTCGCCTTCCGTCCGGAGCTGTTTAATTTAAGAGGCCCGTTTACTTTTATATGTTTTAAGAACATGCTCTACTGAGTAAAGGCGCATTACGTGCTCTGTGGCGTATCCACAGCCCAATTCACCCCATTTCATGTTTAATGCAGCGGCTGCTTGCCTCAACAACTGGGGAAAAAAGAAAAACAATCCTCTCAATGTGGCGTTTCGCTCCACATCGAGTTCTTGCTTTCACTACCATATGAGAAAACTCATCGCATTTCACATTTTCTTCTCCTTGTTTTTCCCCCACAGATGAAATCACCAACAGTTTCCGCCGCTATGGGCACCTGGTGGTGGATTGGCCCCACAAAGCTGAAAGCAAATCCTACTTCCCACCTAAAGGTAACAGCAGGCTGTCCCGCCTTTCGCTCATCATGGAAATATGTGTCAATAAATATCGCTGAGGCTGTATCGTTTGCAGAGACTCGTATTGCTCAGCTGTGCTCCGCTCAAGCTGGGCAGCGATGCAGGTTTCTGTTTCCTAGAGGAATCACTTCTGTAGGATTTAACTATACAGCTGGAGTTTGGATTCAGGATCTGTTTCCTGAGGAGTTGGGAAATTATTTTTTTCTTTCACGTTGAGATTGTGTTTGTTTTTTGCTATAATGGAGTATTGGGCTCATTGTAGATATAAAAAAAAGAGCAAATATCCGCCAAAAAGATTTTAGATTAATCTGATAAATTTTCTAGAAAAAGCAAGGACATTTATAAAAAGTCAAAAATGTGCTTAACAGGAGGAAATTTATTCCTCCTTTATTGTGATTGTCAGAGATTTTCTAGAAAAAAATATGGTTTCAAATTTAAAATTTTTGACATTCGGAAATTTTCTGAGCTTCAAAAGTCAAAGATTTTTGACCCGTTGAACTCAGAAATTTACACATTTTTTTCTAGAAAATTTGTGAAATTTCTGAATTTTTGGGGTAAGTTTTTAACCTTTCAAACTCAGACATTTAAAAAAAATTTCTAGAAAATTTGTGAAATTAATCTCAAAATTTCTGAATTTCCTTTCAGCAAATTTTCAACCTTTCAAATTTAGAAATTTCCACCTTTTTTCTAGAAAATTTCTCAGATTATTATAATTTCTAATTTTTTCTAGCAACTTTTGGAGCTCATAATTTCAAAGATTTTTCATGGAAAGTTTCTGAGACTAACCTCAGAATTTCAGATTTTTTTTTCTTTTGTCATAAATTTCTGTTTCTCTATAAAATTCCTGAGATTGATCTAAGCCTTTCTGAGTGTTTTGGTTGAAATTTGCTCCTTTTCTGTTTGCTGTGGCCCAAATACGGTGTCATTATTGGCGCTCTCTCTCCAAGTTCCTGTGCTGCTCCTTTTTGCGTGGGGCTGCAGTTTGTGTCATTATGAATCCACTCTGGAAATAATTGTCATTCCATAGGCAGATAGTAATGCGCTGCGTCTGGAGGACCTGTGAATATCTGCCAGATTTTCCTCTCCCCACTATTTTTACCTCTTTTTTAAAATTTCATTCTCAGAGGGATTATTCTGAATCGCCTCTCGTAATCCAAGAGGGGGGGAATGCGGCATCCTTTTAGGGGAATGAATGAGTTCATAGCAGCTGGAGGACGCCGCCATGTAAGGGAGGAGGCGGATGGGTCCGCTCATCTGCGCAGTGTTCATCTCTCGCTTCTGAAGCTTCCCGTTTAGCGTCTCGCTCTCCGTTTTGTCCGGCCAGCCATCTTGGGAAGGTGACAGAAGCCTTGCAGCTCATGGCTTTGGGATTTAGAGCAAAGTGCGTCCAACGCCTGTGGGACTGAGAAATACCGAGCTGTGAAAACATGTCTGACCCCTTAACTGATTTCATCTGTTTTCACCGTGTTGTGACAAAGTAAAAAGAAGCAGTTTTTAAATAATGGCTGCTTTTCTAAAGGAAACAGCCGATCCAAATCGATTTGTTTAAACTGCCATCCAGTATTGGATCCAACAGTCGTTTACGTCGCCATAGAGGAATTTTGGCTCACTAAAATGTCTCTTGTTTTGAGCTTGAATGACCAGTTTTAGGTCGTATCTTAGTCAGAGTTGAATCCAACTTTGTTGAGGCCACTTTTTTTGTTTGATCTGTATCTTAACGAAGCAAAAAAAAAACAAAAAACATCAGAGATCGAGGTGAACTTCTTCGTTTGTCCGTCAATTTGAGCAACAGTGAAAAATAAGTTATTTTAAAAATCTGACATTTCATTTTTATTTTGTTTAATTATTATTCAACAAGCAGAACAGATAATCCACATTGTGTCATCATTAAGTTGAATTCATTCAGATTTTCTCTGCAGTGATGAAGTTTTGAAATCGGGTAACATTTCACCAAATGATCAGAAGTTGGCAAGACTCTGTGAACAGTGCCTGATCCAGCAAACACTCCCCTTTGTGGAAGAATAATCCTGCCATCGTCTCTCTGTTGGGAATTTTTGTTACGTTGATTGATTTTAGTGAGCTCCTCAATGTTGTGTAAAGTTGAAACTGTGTGACTGCATCGAGTCGTCAGGTGTGTGTAGTCTGTCAAAATGACAGATGCTGTCGGATTTTTTCCGTCACCGTTTAAAAACCCCATCAAAAACAGATATTTGATTTCAGTTATTTCGGCATCGTGTTGATACGGTAGCCGACAAGTGGGAAATGCAAAGCAAACCAACTCATAACTCCAAAACAAACAAATTCAAAAATCAAATGCAACAGAAAATGCTGTGAACAAAAAATAAGTGGAAATTCCACAAGAAGCAAAAACTGCAAACTTGAAAACAGAAGTCCTCCAGACCACTAGGGGGAGTAAAACTACTTCTGTAAACATGTTGGTGTTCTATAATGTTGTAAAACACTGCAGTGCAACGCTCTTTCCTCCTGTACGTCCCATTAAATCTTGACATCCCGTCTTGACTGAGAGTCCCATTTGATTTGGTGGTTGACTCCCCCTAGTGGTCTGGAGGACTTCTGTTTTTGTTTGCAGTGTTTTTCTGTTGCTTTTTTTTTTTGTATCATTCATGTGATTGGAGCTAATTTTTCCATTTGCTGCGCCGTTGAATGTGTGATGACTGTCAACGTAGCATTCTCCTTCTGAACTGCTGATAGTTTTACTCCATATGTAGGTCTTGGAATATTTCATAAGATGTGTTGTGGAAACTGTGAGATGGGACTTCATGTTCTTTTTGGTTAGAGGTGGTTTTGCCTCACACTGATGATTTTTTTCTGTTATTGTTGAATCATGATTGCTTATCCTAACTGAGGCCTGGAGTTCTTATAGTTTTTGTTCTGGGTTAATTTGTGATGGATTACTGGTTTTGCCTGCCGTTCCTTAAAAGGTCCACGACTGTTCCATGTTTTCTCCATTACTGGATAATGGCCCCTGTTGTGGTTCGCTGAAGCCTCTGAGAAGTGGCGTGGTAACCCTTTCCAGATGGGTCAGTGCATTACTGGGTTGGGTCATCATAACAAGGTGGCCCAAAACGCAGTTTGACATGTCAAAGCAACGGAAAGAGCTCAGGTTTGGTTCGACCAACTGGTCTTAATTCTCAATACTGGATGTTTTATTTTTATTTTTTTGCTTGGTTGTTTATACTACTGGTTAAATTCAACTGTAATCAAACTTTGCTGCGCAGAGGAAGAACGTAGATGTCACACTTCAACGCTCTGTTTACGGATGTAATAACGGCGCCACCTATGGATCGATTTTAACATATTTCTGCCCACCTTATGATGGAGAAATATTGTTTGATTAAGATAATCAAGCCCGTGTGGTTTGTGACAATAAACCAAAAAACATGGATAATTGCAGCTAATTTCTACAGAAGAGGATTAGAGCCAATAAAAAAACAATAGTAATTTTGACTTTAAAGTTTCTAATTCTGTGTAAATTTATAATCCAAATAATCAAACATTCTATAATTATGTTGTTAGTGTATGAAAATGATCACATACGTTTCTTCCCTAAATCTCATAGGATTTATAAATGTGAACTTTATCCAGATTGAAAGACTGCCCCGAATTTGTTTGGTAGATTTGAATTTTAAGACTAGATTTTCCTGATGGTCCATAAACATGCTAAACAATTTCTGATGATTCTGAGGAAAAAGTCAGAAACATGGGAACCATGGGAATTCAGAGAAAAAATAAATTATCGGGAAAAAAAGGAGAATTTTGAAAAATTTGAGGAAAAAAGTCTGAATGTCCGTAATCCTCTTCCGTAAATTGCCATATTAAGATGGAAATTACTTTTTCACATAGGGACAGGAACAAACAATAAATCAAATAAAAAAATCTCCACTCTTTGCCAAAAGATGATTTTGGCAAAAAAAAAAAAGACTGAAACATTTAAATGTGACAAGAAGCGAAAACAGAAAGCGAACAGGAGGGAACCGTTTCGTTCTGCCAGGGATCTGCAGGATGTGCGTCCAAAGCCTGTTGAGCATCCATCCAGGCTTGACCGAATGGAAGATAACCGTCACTTTCCACCCTCTCCTCATTAAACTGCCAGCAGCGTGCGCCTGTGCCGTTATGAAAGTGTTTTTTGTTCAGCGGTGACTCACACTGTGGCTCGGTCTGGCTCCGGGGGCCGGGCCTGGACTGTTTGGTGTTTGGGATGAAGGGCAGGCAGAGACAGAAAGTTGATGCCAAGGCAGGATTGTTTTTCTCTCAGCTTCTTCTTTCTGCTAATATTGTCTCGCCCTCCAGTAATGGATCAAAAGATGTAATAAAAAAGTGTTGCTCTGATGTAGATCCATTTAATGCAGAGCTAATTATATGCAAGAAAAGATTGTTCTGATGGTTGAACTGAGAAGTGAACAGGAGATGAATGTTCTGTCGTTTTGTTCAGATAAAATGGTTCTTTTATAATTGCAGGAAGTTTAAATGCAGCGTTCTGTTCAGAAACCCAAAATCCTTTTATTATTTAACTCAAAATGTCTGCAGGCTCGTGTTGTTTGCCCAGCCTCTCGTTCCCTGACATTCATCACTTCTGTTTACAGACACAACAAGCTGCCCTGCGGCATTAAAAAAAGCAGCGTTAGAGGACTACTGTTTGCTGGAGGCAACAACAAATTTAGCTGCTGGTTGGAGCAACAAGTAGCTCTTAAAAATACAGCAGTAGGTGGAGAGCCAGATGAAACTTAAAATGAGAGTAAACATCGAGTTTCATTTCGTTTGCAGTTCAAGGCCGCGACTCCAAACCAAGCAAATAATGAGCCGTTTAGTTTATTAATGTAGCACCAACATGTTTGATTCATCCTACATTATATGTACAGCAGAATTCATGGCCGCTAGCTAAACGATTAGCTGTGCTAAAGCGCTAATCATAAATATTTGTTCCGCTAAACCAACATAGCATTTAGCAAAAGCTA